CGCCTGTATTCATAAGCCGTAGTTAGCAGCTATTACGTGGGCCAAAGACAATAAAGATTAGACCGGATTTGCCAACAGGAACAGACAAATTTTTAAGTCAAAGTGAGAAAAAGATTTGGGATTTCTAGCTCACGTAATGGCTGCTGACTATGGCTAATAAATATTTGTAAAGAAGAAGTCTTGAACAAGTCTACGACAAATAGACGAAACGCATTGGAGAATAAAACAAGGTTTACAGCAACAGTTCGCAGAGTGCTGCTCGCTGATTTAGTTTTCAATATTAAAAAAAAGTACCTCGTTCGACCCAGCAATATTTAATAGATAATTACCGAAGCCGCCCTCAGCTGGCTGCAATATGTCTGATAACCCTAACTGCCTCAGTAAGTATCGATTAAATGGCACTTCCCGCTGGCAACACGTCACAACTTTCAAGCCATTTTTGGTAAGTCTTGTCTGTGAGTAAAAACCACAGTAACTGTGACGCAAACACACACAAAAACAAACAAAACAAATCATTTCCAACGATCGCAGAGATATACGATCCGAAATTAAAAAAAATCCAAAGTTCGGTCCCAACAATCGATGAAAACTGCAAACCACTGCCGTTGCAGGATCTGCAAATCCGTTAAAATTTCGCTCTGAATCCGACATCCGGCAAAAATACTGTCACAATCCGCTGATCCATTTTCCTGTTTACTCCATTCATTACTATTTTAGAGCCCCTTGTTGCAATTAAAAAACAAAAAAGAACGTCTAACTTTGCTCTCTTTGTGTTAATTAGTGAACGTAACTTCGGGAAAGATCGGTTTATGTTGATCACGTTGCTGGCCTTTCTAAAAGCGTATTAGTGTGGTTGGGGCCTGAATTTCACAGTTTATTTGCGATATTTTTGCAGTTAAGACCTTTTATCCTAACATTGCGTTTTCATTTAAAAACGCATACTTTTTTATGCGTTTCGCTAAAACTTCCTGATTTTTGCATAGGATGAATGCTACGTCACCGCGATCAAACCTTTTTTTTCCACCTGCTTCAGTCAAAAGACTCCTCTATCAAAAACGCGTTCAAAGGCCATTTTCTTCAGCGGTTTCGAATTGTTGGTGTTTCCGTGTAAATAATAGGGTAAAAACGCATCAAACTGCGAACGTTTCCAGACCACAGCTAAAGTTGGAGGAAGAAACTTGGTCATTTTTTAATAGCTGAGGGAAGAGAAGGCCTTTTTATGGTAGCAAATTAAAACGAAAATCTAAATTTAAACTTTATTAACCAGCAAGGCGCTGAACAATCATTACGTATGTTAATTTCACTGTCATTCATTAGCCATTTCAAAGAGGAATACTGGTTAGCTTTTGTTTAAAAACATTCAGCGTCAGTTTGAAAAAGCAATTTTTTAAAATGTCAATTGAGAGCTCTTTTCGTGCTCATTTTTATCTCAGTTATAAATAAAATATTCTCGTGTGATACATCGCTCTTTTCAAAACTGAACGAATTTTGCACAGTCCCTCACTGTGTTCTATCGTTCATTAATAGTCGTAAAAGCCCTTGAAGTACTCAATTGCTAGTGTTTAATCACTGAAAAGTGTTCATCAATTCTAATGAAACCTAACACAGCCCAGCAGCTGTCGTTCTTCTTAATGAAACCTTGGATCTGACTCACTATTCCGTGAGTAAGGCTCCCGGCAAGTGGTCTCCACAATCTGATGAACTTGGAGCCCGAATGGCGCGTCTTCCTCTGCTTCGTAACGTGGGAAACCACTCGCATCGCATGTTATTGGATTCACGGTTCGACCTGTCTTTCATTTCTCTATTACTTCCTTGACACCCGTCGTTTCTCTGCGTAATTATGCTCATTTGTGTTCGATCTGAATACATAATTATGATAAATACCTTGTATTTTGCACCATTTATCATCTGGAATAAAAATAGCAAAAAGTATTTCGTTTTTACTTTTCTTCGTTGATAACATGCAACCGGCTTGGGTGGCTTCTGTCAAAATTATCAAAAATTTCAAACCTGCTCGTTTCCTGCTTCGATATCTAATTCCAGCATGGCTTGTTTTAACCGTTATTTTGCTGTTCAGCCTCTATCGCCAATCGTCGAAAAGGGATGAATCAACTACACAAGTGAAAAGCAAATTGAACCACAGCTTCAGGTCTCTGTCAAAGACTGAAATTTTAAGAGAACGCTTTCAGAAAGAGAACGGACTTGTGGGTGCGATCAGGAAAAATTCTTATGGGACTTCTGGAACGGCAGTTTGTGTTGTAGATCCAGCAATGACTGAATGTGGCGGTAGTGGGTTCTCTTCTTTTCTCCTGTTCACGTTGGATCATATTATGGTGTGTCGCGCTCTAGGAATCAACCAGCAAACTGTGTTCTGGAGAGGTTGTAATTCCGCTTGCGCGCGGGACCCAGCTGTAAACTCGTGGATGTGGTATTTCGAGCCTGTTAACGAAGGAATGGAATCAAAAGTTGAAAATGTTTTTTGTCCTTTAAGCCTTA